TCATGCCAAATCTTCTTTTAGGGTTAAGTCATGCATGATCCATTCCTATTCAGGCATCAGCCCTGACAGTGTCTTGTTCTGTAGGGCTGTCTGTGTGCCTGCCCAGTAAGATCCACAGGGGCTTGCGCAGGTTGTGCGCATCCTGGAACATTTTGCTGAGAAGATGACCTACACAGCAAAAGACTTTATATAACCAAAGGCAGGGTATAAATATTTTATAGCATGGAGTCCATGAAAACACATCTTCCTTCCCATAATGTGCAATCTCAGGACATATCACTGGGGAAGAAGACTGGCCTGAAGGATTCAACAGTTCCAATTTGCTGCTGCTCATTAGAGTACCCTAGAGAATAGTACAGCAAGTCCAGATCTCTGCAGCCTGTGGGCTCGTTAGCATGGACTGACCACACAAAAGCAACCTTCCCCCCCAAAAAAAGCCGCCTTGTGTTGCAAAGCACATTAATGAAGAGCCAGGCGACATGAGCCAAAGGGAGCCTGTGAGACATCCTTCTCCTACACATGACGAAGGGTAGATCCTGGAGACAATGGGAAGGCCCCCAAACAGCACAGTGAGCTGGGGCAGGACTCACAGTCTTCCCCTGTTACTGCCATAACCACACAGTAAAGACTCTTGGGTAAAGCAGGAGACATGAGCTCACACAATGGTCAGCCTTACACGCCCAGTTCAGAAATAGAGGCCCATGTCACCATCAGGCTGGGACATCCCTCTGCATAATTATCTGTTAATAATGTCAAGTTTCTCCTTGATGTGTTTTCTTTCAGATTTTAAAAAACTCTGCGTGTGTGTGTGTGTGTGTGTGTGTGTGTGTGTGTGTAAGGAATGTGCACAAGAGTGGAGGTCAGAAACAGACATTAGATAGGAACCAAACAGTGATCCTCTGCAAGAGTGGTACCCACTCTTAACTGCTGAGCCACCTCTCCAGTTCCAATAATGCTTTCATAAAAGCCAAGCCTCACCAGAACCTTTGCCTTGCCTTGGTATCTCCTGCCATTAATAATTCCATGAGCGACTATCTCCCACTTAGTGTTCTGAGATGCTGACTCCAAACCTCAACAGAAATTTCACGTCTTCATACCGTTTTTCCCTTTGTTCAAAATCGGTTCTACCCACCCAGATCTCCTGAGTCAATATGTCACTATACTGCACAATTAAATCCTAAAATAAAACAGTGAAACCTCCACACAAAACTGACTTTCCAATTTAGAGAGTTCTTCAAACCCTTGCCATGACCAGCAGAAAACTCTTCACCAGAGTTGCCGGTGGTGCTGACAATGGCTTGGTTTTCCTTTGCTAAACCATAGCTCACAACTAAAAGGCTGACTTTCTTGTTCCCTATCTGAGGTTTCTTTTTTGCTTCCTCCCCAAGAATGGTAAGTTTAAGGAAGTGATTATATAATCCTGGTTTTTAAATGGCCCTTTAAAATGTGATTTGAATCATTCAGAGCGGAAAGAGGCGTGGGGGGGCACTCTTTCAGATGTAGGCTAGGTAGAAACAGGCCTACTGCTCCAACAGCAAGATCTTGGATCGCCTTAACAAATACTGATGGCTTCGGGAACTTTGGTCAGGAAGTAAAGGAAGCCAAGGAGAAATGGAAACACCCCTGAGCTCTGAATCTCTCAGCTGAGAAATCTCTCAGCTATGGTTTAAATGTGTCTTGTTCCCCAGAGGCTCAGGAGCTCAAAGTCTGTTCCCCAGGGTGGGGGACTTTGCTATGGACTTAAAATAATATTTCCCAACAATGCCCCCGAGAGCAGACTGTGCTAAGAGGAAGCCCCGCCCAGTCTGGTCTCCTACTTCCTTTCCCTTGCATAGGCTCCTTCAGGAACTGGCCAGTTCCCATTCTACTTCTTTATCGCCTGTGACAGAGCCAGAATGGCACTTTTGGAACCCCCCAAGCCACCAGAATTGTGAGTCCCCAGAAGCCCACATTTACACTGTATTACCCAACCTTCATTATTTTGCCATAGCAATGCAAACGCTTACGTACTCTCTTAATGCCAGCTAAAAGAAAATAAATTAGAAAAGCCCACACTCTTAACAACAAAATTAAACGTGGTAATCCATTGATTCTAGGATCTATCCTTTATGCATTAAACTAAGATGATCCCCAAATATCACTTTGTACTACAAGTAGGATTCCACTTTGTGAAACAAATGACGTCAGAGACTGGAAGGGCGGGTGCTGGAACAGCGCTTTCTATCTTAGCCCACTCAGAACTCAAGGCTGTGTGTAGCCCGGAAGTCTGTGTAGGCGCAGATTCTCTGAAGTCTGGCCGTCTTGCCATTTTCCGTATTCCCTTCACAGTGGCTTTGCATCACCTCTTTAGAAACAAGACTTTGTGTAGCCTTTAAAAACAAACAAACAAACAGAAGAATTGCCCATGGCACATGGGAAATCTACTCTCTGAAGTAATGCAGTACTCTGGAGGCAGGGAGAGCAGAGAGAGCCAAGAGGAACCTGGAACATTCTAGAGATGGTGGTTCCTTTGCACAGGCATCGTTTAAAGGTAGCAGAAGCTTAGGTGGTGAACTCATTGCTGAGATTGCGGCTAGATTTGGGGATCTTCACTCACACAGTCGTGTGTTTCAGCAAGACTTCACTTCAGAGAAATGCGAACATTTACTTTCAATCAGACAGAGAAAGGGTTCATGGGCAGACCAACTAATGGACGGGAATACTTTGTAACTGTATTACAGGGGGAACCTTTGTAACTACAGAGATCTTGCCTCATGCAAAGAGAAGACAAAAAGCTATTCCAGTGTTGATGCGAAAATACAATCAGACAAACGAGAGAAAGAAGAGCAACAAACAGATGCACTTCCGAAATTATCTTACCATGAATATAGAAGAAAGCAGAGCCGAATAAAAAAGAATTTTAAGACAATGCTTTTATTAAAAAGACAAGGTACACAGAAGACACTTGCACAATGGAAAGAAAAACAGACAAGTAGGTAGAGGAAGACAGCTGAGAACTAAACACAGCCAAGGATCCATGGTGACAAGGACAGAGATAATGAGACCACAGAACCTTCATATGGCGAAGGATGGAGATAGAGACAGAAACACTTATTGGAACACTGGGCTTAACTCCCTAGGTCCAAATGAGAAGCAGAGGGAGGGAGATCGTGAGCAAGGAAAGCAGAACCAGAGGGAACCTTCATCCAACGATGGATGGGGATAGAGACGGAGACCCACATTGGAGCACTGGACTGAGCCTCCAAGGTCCAAATGAGAAGCAGAAGGAGGGAGAACATGAACAAGGAAGTTAGGACCGCGAAGGGTGCGTTCACCCACTGATACAAGGGGACTGATCGAATGAGAGCTCACCAAGGCCAGCTGGACTGGGACTGAACGAGCATGTGATCAAACCGGATTCTCTGAATGTGGCTGACATGGGGGATGACTGAGAAGCCATTGACAATGGCACTGGGTCTTGTTTCGTCTGCATGGACTGGCTTTTTGGGATCCTGGCCTGTTTGGATGCTCACCTCCTGGACCTGGAGGGAGGGGGGAGGAACTTGGATTTCCCACAGGGCAGGAAACCCTGACTGCTCTTGGGAATGGTAAGGGAGTGGGGCGGGGAGCGGGATGGTACTGGGAGAATAAGAAAAAATTTTAGAATTAAAATTAATAAAAAAAAATGGAAAAAAAAGAAAGGAAAAAAGTCACCTCTGCAAGCCGCAAGATTAACATCTCAATGCCTTCTCTGTTTGCACCAGGCAGAGCTGAAGACAATGAGGGTAACTGGAGGGAAGACACAGAATAGGTAGTAAACACGAATGAAGAATGTTTCTAAATAAAATACTGGAACTAAAAACACACACAGCAGAAGAGAAAGCATCCCAGGCAGAAGATACACTGTTTTCTGTTTGGAAGGATGTTCTGTGAACCAGAAGGGGGGGAAAAAAATCAATGAAAAGCAGCATTTCACCTAGATTAAATTTTGTAATTTTTGAAAAGCACATGAATAAAGAAGACAGACTTCAAATTTTCAAAAAGAAACAATAGGTTATTGATGAAGGGAAGAGAACCGGGCCAGCCCAGCCTTGTCTTCTGCAGCACTAATTGCCAGAACCTAACTAAGAGGGAGCTGTCGTTTTCAAAGCGCCCATTTGTCTTCTCCAAGCAAACACAACATGAAGCGCTACTCAGACAAACAAGGGCTAAATTATATATTACTGACCTGTCTTCCCTCCCCACCGAAAAGCCGTGCAATGAGATGCAATTGGTCAAGAGAGTAAACAAAACTAAGGGGTTTGTTTTTCTAATTTTCTCATTATGTTTATTTGGCGGATGGGGGTGCCATGGTGCACACATGGAGGCCAGAGGAAAACTTGCAGAATCATCTCTCCCTCCACCATGTGGGTCCCAGGCCTTGAACTCAAATTGTCAAGCTTGGTGGCAAACACCCTTATCCACCAAGTCATCCAATAGCCATAAAAGAAGGCTTTTAAGAATTGGGGCTTTTGTTGTTGCTGTGTTGTTGTTGTATTTAAAGTAGAGACGAGGGAGATGGCTCAGTGGGTGAGGGGACTTGCTTTGTAGCATAAGGACCTGAGCTCAACTCCACTCTACCTACTCAACAGGGCCATAGCTGTTTGTGTCTGTAACTCCTGGGGAAAGGGGGAGCTTCCCTTTCATTGAGAGTTCCTATCTAAAAGTGTAAGGCAGGGAATCGTTCTCTGGGCCCTCCATTCACACATGCGCACATAGTCATATGCATGTACTGACCATATGTGTATACATACCAACACACACACACTCTGTCTCTCTCTCACACACACATATACTGCAAACATTCTTACATACACACACTCATACACACACTTGCACATACATTCACACACACACAGAGACACATACTCTCACCACACACTTGCACACATTCATATACACACATACTCATACATGCAATAGTTCAGTAGCAGAAGGTAACTTGGTGGGTTGCAGCCAAGAGACACAACAAAGTCACATCATGCAACAGAGCTCACATGGGAGGTTTATTGGGAGGAGGTGCAGAGGCAGCCTCTGAGCAAGAGCAGAAGGAAAGAGACGGGCAAGAAAGGCTTGCCTTTTATAAGAGGAATATAGTGTATACACATAGGAAAAGTTCTCTACTTGGTGGCTGCAGTAGCTACAATGTCACATCTTAGCTGCTGCTGGTGACTTGTCCTGCTATGTCCCTGAGAGCAAGTCAGGTAAATGCCTGAATGCTAAAATTCCTCCCCTTTGTTTATTATAAAAGATGAGAGAAAAGGGAAAGGCTGGGTTATGGGTGTGGTCTTTTAGACTGCTTCCTGTTGTCTAGGGACACAGATATATCTGGGGTACTTTTGCTTCTCACCATCTGGGCACATTTGGTAGTCATGTTCCCCTAGCTCTGGGACCAACGGTTGATAGTCCTGTAACAATAGTTGATTAGTTGTTGGATTGGAGATTTTTGAATATGTCGTTGGGGAAACAGAAGAAACTGATAAATCAGAGTGTGGTTAGTAAAGCCAGGAAAACGAGGAGAGGGGACAGGAAGGAAAGCTTCCTCTTCCATATGGGATCCTCAATCCAGTAGAGTTGAGCATGGCTGCCAGGGTGAAGCCTCGTTCTTCTGGAGTCGGGGACAAAGCAGTCGATCTCAGTGTCCAGGCTTTGTGCGACAGTCTCCGGCGATAGTAGCTAAGAAAGTACAGGCCTAGTTGAAGCAGTCAGTGAGGTTAGATCACTTAGGGCAGCCACTTTGAAGCTGTCCTTGATGCAGATTTTTGAGGGGACACCTGGACCTGGACCTGGCAGGCTGCTGGCAGAGCAGAAGATAAAGTTAAGAAGTTTAGGGGGAATTTTTTTCTTAGGTCCTGGTAATTGAGGGAGGGGAGTGCCATTACCAGGGAAAGGTAGTCAGGAACAGGCGGTAGGTGGGGAAAAGTAGACTGTTGGTCGACAGTACTTATCTGGAGTCCATTGGACCTGTTCAAGGTGGATCCAAGTCAACTGCCTGGAGCTTGTAACTCTTCTAGTCACCGGTAAGGCTGTACTGCACTTCCGGGTTCTAAAGCAGGCGCATGTACCTGTGTGCGCATGCGTGGGTCGCCTGCCATCTGCATCATCAGCATCACGCAAAAGCCACTGTACGCAGGTGCAAGGCATAGCGTCGCCCGTCATCAGCGTCTGTAGTAGGCACGTCTTTCCCCTCGTGCGCATGTGCCAGGAAGCCTTTAAAAGCTGGACACACCATTTTTACGCTCTCTCTTTCCTTCCACACCGTTTTCTCGGGCCCGTGAGCACAACTCCTTTTAATAAACTCTTAAGTGGGTTCGTTTGCGTCTCATGTCTTCTCATTCCCGCCAGATATCTTCAGAGCTTACAAGATCTTTTTGAGTTTACAAAAGACAAAACAAAACAACAAAACGCCATAAATTTTAGACACATTAGCATTCCCACTCTTTATAATCTGTACTGAAATCCACACTGAAGAAAAGGCCATATACGTATGCCCTTGAGTCATAGAGGACCCAGAAAGTATTCTGGTTAAAAGCATTGACACTCTTTCCTCTATCCAGAAGACTAGGTGTACATAGATTAGACAGATGCTTTTAGCACAAGGTGACGCCCTTTTAAATCTATAGTTAGAAAAAAACCAAAAAGAATTTAAAATCTTGCACTTGTGACTATGATAATAGCAGTAGTACTTCGGCAGAGCTAGATTAATAGCTTATCAAAATGCCATTGATTAATGTTAAGACTATGAACTTTTGGAGGCTTAATACAACAGACCAGCAAGAGAAAGAAATCTAAAACATGTTTCATTCTTTTATACACCTCGGGTCATTTTCTTCTTATCACCACTTAAGATTTTTCATCCACAGGCGTTTATAACTTGCATTTACACACTGCTGTAGAACAACCCTCTTGTATACCATGAAGATTTGTCACTCGACTTGGCTTACTAAATACTGATTGGCCAGTAACTAGACGGGAAGTATAGGTGAGGCAACTAAATTAAAGATGATGGGAAGGAGAAGGACAGAGTAAGAAGTCACTAGCAGATGTAGAGGAAGCGGGATATGAATGTGCCCTGTTAATAAAGGTACTGCCATGTGGCAGAGTGTAAATAAGAAATAAAGGTTAATATAAATATATTTAGATAGATAGATAGATAGATAGATAGATAGATAGATAGATCTAGCTCTTATAAGAGCTAGATAGTAATAAGACTCAGATATCAACCAAGAATTTATAATTTGTATTCAACTTCTGAGTCAATTATTTGGGACTGAACAGTCAGGACAGAAAATGTCTGATTACATGTGATGCCCATTGTGGGGCACCAGATGAAATGTAAATCTAATTAATCTTATCAACAAAAACAAGGAGTCAGCTATCAGGGTAAAAACCTGAAAAATCAGAGAAGCAGGAAGCAGTCACCAGTGACTTCCTACCTCTACAGTTCGTTTGACCAAAAAGGCCTAGATCCTCTCTCTGCCCCCCACCTTAAACCTACAGTCCTCTATGGCTAACTAGTGGCTACCTCTTTCCTCTGACTCCAAATAAGCTTTATTTTTGAGAACAACAAAAAAACAGTCACATAACAATGTGCCTTAATCACTTACATTTATACACCTTAAGTCACTCTCTTAGACCTTAAAACAGTCTTATGTCCTCACATCTTAAGTTTTTGTCAGAAGCCAAGACCTGTATTTTGAGACCTGTATTTTGTTTATGCCATCTTAACTTCACAAGATGTTTTTTGCAGGGCAAGTTCAGCAGGTAGGAAATTAGCCAAGTGAGACCTGCAGGCCCCAGGCTTTAGAAACAATTGCATTTCCTTTGTTAGTTAACAATCACAGACCCTCAGTATTTCCTTATCAGCTACGAATGTCTCCAGACCTAAATTCCAGCAGACCTGACACCCTACCCCCCCCCCCACTTGCTTGTTTGCTATATAATAGCTTCTGAGGAATTAATATAAAGTGGCAGCTTGATCAAAAGGCCTGTCTTGCTGTTATTTCTCGTGCCTCTTGTCCTTCTATTCCTCTTCCTCCTCCAGGTTTATCAGAGACCACCATTCATATCTCACTGGCTGGGATAGCTGGTGCCCAACGTTGGGCTTGAGGACACCATGGAAGTTTGGGGAATGTCACTGCACATGGAGGAAAGGCTTGTCCACTCACTTGGACCACCATGGCCAGTGGGCAAAGTACCAGTCCAACAAGAATCGCCATGGGGAACCCAACCATGAGACAGATTCGAGGTGATTCCACAGTGACATAGGTTAAAAAAATTTTTTTTTTTTTTACTATTGGGCAAGCATCTTGTAAACAGGATATGTTTATTCATGGACTCAAGGAGTCCCTCAAAACATGAGAAGTAAGGGTAAAATTCACACAGCTACGCCTGCCAGGCAGGCTGGCTGACAGGCTGAGAGAGCCTGTGTTGTAACCCCCTGAAGTGCTGAGCACCTTCAACCAGAAGCTGACAGGCAGATTAGCAAAACAAGGAACTAGCCTACTAAAGAGGTCAGAGATAATAGGTTTAAGTCCTCTGAGGCTCTGTGTACTGGGCTTGGGTGATGTACCAGGTAGGGCCCTGTAATTGGATGATGGTGGGGGAATGGTGTTTAGCAACAAACAGATTTTGGGTATCCCAGATTTGGGGATTCACTTGGGCGGCTGGAAAAGGAGATAACATGTTGGAACCAGTAGGTTGGGTGGCTAGGAGGAAGAGGAGAGGGGCTGCTGGTGAGCTTGAGGTCAGGCAAATGGAGGAAGCAAAAGAAATAGAGGTTCCCACTTTGGCTAGAAGATCCCTTCCTGGTAAGGGGATGGTACAAGTTGGTACCACCAGGAAGAAATAAGAGGAGAAAATATATATATATATATATATATATATATATATATATATATACACATATATATATGTACATATATATATAATATATATACTGAAAGTAGTAGATTTCAGGCTTCATCACTAGCAGGAGCTGAGTTGCATGGGAGAACAGGAAGGCAGAGGGAGGGTTTGAAGTAAAGATAAGAGAAAGCTTGGACATAGGGTACCTCCTTCATTGTACTTGATCCTATATAATATTGGGATCTAGGGTGCCAGTAGGTAGGCATTTGGATTGATTATCTAAGGGGTATTGGGGCCAGAATTGACTGCAAAGATAGATAAGTTTAGAAGACCTTAAGTCAGGTGAAAGGTATAGAGCTCTGAGATTTTCTAAAAATCACAGGGGAGATCTTGGAGGTATGGTAGAAGATGTAATTCCCATGAGTGAGGTAGAGGAAAAAGATCCAACGCCTGAATGTCCTGGTGTCCCAGGGATATAGGGAGGATCAGATTGAGTAGACAACAAACTGTCCAGTGAGTTGTCACACACTGAACAGGGGCAAAGGGCTAGAAACCCAAGTGAGACATGGTCACCTGGTATCAGAGCTTACAAACAAGGCCAAAAAGCAAGAAACCATGCTCAAGAGATTAAGTCCCATGATGTGGGATTTCCCTCTGTATCCTATGAATGTTTTATTACCATTGGTTAATAAAGAAGTTGCAAGACCTGCCCCCCCCCCGAAATGTCTCCATGAACCTAAAAATACTTTGCCCAAGGAAGAACGGAAAGCAGTTTGGAGAAAACAATGCCCAAGTTCCCAAAATGCTTGTTTATAAATGTTTGTTTTCATTTAAAGGGGGATATGACCTTTAAAGATGAATATTTTGCATTGGTATAGATTTTGGTCTATTAATACAAGTTTGGAGTTGATTTTGTTACACTGTGCATATGTATTTCTGTTCTTGCTTAAGGTATTGTGCTTGTGAAGTTTATTTAAAAATATAATGAGTAAAAAAATATAATAAGTAGTTAAGAAATACAGATTAATAGATAGTTATCTGTAATAATCAAATGTGTAGTCATGTTAGTTAGGTTTTCTAGATATATAGAGATATTTTAGTTAGATAATCTTCAACACTTCAAAGACCTACAGACTATGGCATTTAAAAGGTTTTGTTAACTTAGGATTTTTCATGACAACGAGACACATCGGCTCCTAGCAACACACTATGTGGCCTGGAAACATCTCTGTGTATGGCAGCAGGAGCCACCATGCTCTCCTACCTGTGCATGCCTAGCAGACCTGATCCAGTTGTTTTCCCAGACGAGGGTGTTGAGTGGCAGGCATCCTCTCAGCTACTTTCCACCTAACCCTGAGCAGGCAGTACATCTTAGCCCCCACGTTGGATGCTATTTTGTAGGTGGAGACTGCTCGTTTGTTTTCTGGCTGCCCAGACCCGAATAATAACTCAGAAATTATATTAATTGCAATATTATTTGGCCAATAGCTTAGGCATATTTCTAGCTATCTCTTACATTTTAAATTAACCATTTCTATTAAAATGTGTATCACCAAGAGACTATGACTTACTGATAAGAATTCTCCTGGTGGTTGGCATCTTTCTTCTTCAGCAGCCACATAACATCTGCCTCCTTCAGCAGTTACATTACATCTCTTTGACTCAGGCAAAAAATTAGCCTGGAACACACACACATATATGTTCCATATATATATGTTCCAGCCTAATATATATATGTGTGTATGTATATATATTCCAGCCTAATTTATATATATGTGTGTGTGTATATATATGTTCCAGCCTAATTTTTCTTATATATATATATATATGTTCCAGCCTAATATATATATGTGTGTGTATATACATATGTGTATGTATATATGTGTGTGTGTGTATATATTCCAACCTAATTTATATGTGTGTGTGTGTATATATATATATATATATATATATATATATATATATATGTTCCAGCCTAATTTTTCCCTGCCATAGGCCAAATCAGCTTTATTCATTAACAAGTAAGAGTAACATATACACAGAAGGACATCCCACATCACTTGAGTCATTGGCCAAGCAATGTTTTAATTAATAGTTTCTGTGTTATTATTTAGGTCTGGGTGGCCAGAATGAACAAGCAGTCTCTGTTTATGGAGCAACCATATCCACATAAAAACTGAGAGAGTTTGGGAAGGAA